GGCTGTGGTCCTGCGTGATTACGTCTGGGACCAGTTGTAAGGTGAGTGGGGTCACCACAGACATTTCCAGGAGCTGTGTGAACCAGTGCTGGCGTGGCCATGCCGGAGCTATCAATATGACCCGGTCTCGGTCCCTGTGGACCTTGAGGAACACCTTGTGGACCAGTGGTGTCGGTGGGAACGCGTAAAGCAGACGGTCCCCCCAGAGGAGAAGGAAGGCATCTGTGATGGAACCCGGGCTGTGATTCATGAAGGAACAAAATAGTTGACACTTCCTGTTGCTGCGTGTGGTTCCTTCAGTCTCACATTCATGTCCTACAACCTTTATTTTTGTAGCCTTTATTTTGACTCCAAGCAACCAATGCTTATTCATATAATTCATATGCAGTGCTGTAGTTATATAATGTGTTCTTAGTAAGGCTGAGTAAAAGAGAAATTGTCACTTGATTGGTCTTACAAAAGTATAGATTCCATACAAAAACACTGAAATGAGAATATTAAGGTAACACATTTAAGCACTAAAGTCATGAAATGCCAATAGTTTAAAGTTATATGTATGATCCTGACTCTGACACCTTGAGTATATTCATTAAAATGCTATTGCATTACATGATCACATACTATTTCTCAAATAATAGAATACATCACACATTTTTTCTGTAACTTTAGACACACACACACATATATAACATCTTATACAATTTTCCACACTTTTAAAATTTATAGTAGTTTCCACTGTCCTCAAGGTTTAGTATAGTGTATATAATATATAGAGATGTGTATCCCTATGGGTGTTCCACTGTAGATGTATCCATGTCCCTGCACCTCAGATCAGAGATTTTTAGGTAGCAGTGTCTGTTCGGCCTGCACATTTGCTCTTTCTGTTGCGTGCTCTGCCTTGCTGTTATATATTGCCGTGCAGGCGAACCACCCTCAGGTCCTTCTCTACTGCACAGCTCATCGATAAGAGCTCCGAAGCAGAGGCGAGGAGGGTGGTAGTGGAGCACCCACAAGGACATACATCTCAAAGAACCAGTTACTGCACAAGATGAGGTTACTTCAAATAATGTCCCTATGGATGCTCCACTCTAGGTGACTCTACAACAGTACCTCTAATGGAGCGGTGGGGCTTTGGAGTTGAGTCCAATATTGAAGATAGTACGGTTGAGCTGAGTCATGGATGACTGCATTATGTTCAGCAAATGTATGAGTAGATGCCCAAATCACTGCTCTGCATATTTCTGTGATCAGAATGTTATTGAGGAAAGCTATGGAAATGGAGAAAGATCTTGCAGAGTGAGTTTGAGCTCCAGAAGGAGGTTGAAGGGGTCTCTTTCTCTTGGCTGATTCCTTATTCCGGGGACTAGTCGCACGTTTGAGACTTTTTGAGAGAAATCCAAATCCTCTTTGAAGTCCCTAGAGAGCACTTAGCCCACAATGTTGACAAGATTGGCCTTGTCGGGGATCACTGTACAGCGGGGTACTGAGTCCAGGGTTGAAGGCTGGTCGGAGTGAGCTTTCCATCATGAGCAGACTTAATTTTCGCTCGTGGTTCTTTCTAAGTCTCGATTTTAGTTTGAGGCAAAATGTGCACTTCTGAGGCATGAGTGACTCTCCGAGGCAATGAATGCAGTGGAAATGGCCGTCGCTGATAGGAAAGGCTTCTTCACAGGAGAGGCAGCATTTAAATCCGAGGGAGTTGGGCATACCCTTTTAGGGTTCATATCCTGAATGGGAAGAAACTAAGGAGAACTAACTTATGCTAGGACGATAACTATTCTACAAGCGAAGTAATATTTTTTGGGGGGAGGGGTGGAGAGAAATGAAAAGAAGGCAGTATTAAGACTAATTAACGGAAGCTCTATTACTACATCTAATACTGAAGGAAACAAACAAGAAAACTAAGAAACTCTGTTAACGGGATCTGTTAAGGCTCTCTCAGGCCAAGGGCGGCTGAAAAGGAACTGAGGGCAGTTTTCCCACACAGTGCTATATAGCAGCAAGGTAGAGCAAGAGACTAGGAGAGCGCATGTGTGAGTCAAACAGACACAGCTATCTAAAATCTCCGATCTGAGGTGCAGGGATGTGAATACACCTACAGTGGAGCACCCATACGGACACTACTGGAAGAACCACCTGGGCTTTTTGATTTGATAAAGGTGGAAAGGCTGCTTTGTGGCCTGGTGGTTAGGGCACTCGATTTAAGAGCTTGCTCTGTCCGATTAAAAGCAGAGTTTTTCATCCCAGATCACTCAGAGCAAGGATTTGAACTTGATTCTCCCACATTCCAGACCAGTGCCATAATCATCAGTCTATACATCATGAGTCTCTCTTCTCCTTTTCCCCATGAAAACTTTTTCAAACTGATATGTCTCCATAAAACATTTCAGCTTTGACAAAATAGTATATTTTGGCTAACTGAAATTTTGCTGAAAATGTTCGAACCAGCTCTAATTGTGAACAGCCCTTCTTGCACACCTTGAAGATCCTGCACAGCCAGGTGTGGGCCACTCACTATTTGGTCCTTAATGTTCTCTTGATTTAGGTTTTTGTTTGGCATTTCCTAGGAGGGGGTTTAAGAGAAAAAACAAACAAACAAACAAAAAACACCTTACCTCTCCCAGGCTTTGAAGTTCTGGTGGTTTGCAAAAAATTGATAATAGAAAATGTATACTTCACAGTTTGAAACTATCAGGCTCGAAGATGCTGGAACACCTCTCTCCTCCATATGTTAGGACACTGTCCCTCTCTTGCATACCAGAGGTGAAAGTCTCTGTCTTATATTCCATAGGAGCTGAACAGCTTATAAGGTGCATGATTTCTAGGCCCCCACCTGTGCTCCTTACCAACTTAGCAAGAAAGTCCAATGTAAAATGTACTGCACATGCACAGCATGCATCTTTGAAAGGGTCATGATTCAATGAATTCAGAACGTAACCACTACGAGGCACTTCTGCTTAGTGGGGATTATTATTATTCCAATTTTCAGTTTTCATAACTCAGCAATGTTGGTTATAGGGCTGTTTCAATAACTTTGTTCCAGGATTTTTGATGTATTTAAAATAATGGTGAGAGTATACCCCTCAACTCTCCTCAGAATTCTATACAGCTAAACTCTTTTTGCTAAAACTTAAATACAAAAAACCCACCCAAAAACACAGAAATTGTCATTCGGGACCAGACCCAATACTAATCTAGTATTCTGTCTCTGACAGTGGCCAGATGCTTCACAGGAAGAAACCTACAAACCCTAACACAGGCAGAGATGGGGTAATCTGCCCCCCTTATGCTAAACTGTAACAGAGCATAAGGTTTAATATCTCATCCAAAATTTACCATTAATAATGATAACTTTGCATATCCTTGTTATCTATATAAATGTCCAATCCCTTTTTGAATCATGTTAGGTTCTTGGCATCAGTAATTTCCTGTAGCAGGGAGTTCCACAGTTTAATCTGTTTAATGTATGAAAAAAGTACTCCTTTTATTCATTTTGAATTTCTAGCTTTTTAATTAAATTAAATTGGGCAGTGACCACAAGCCTGGGAAATTTCAGCCTGAAAGGTCAAAATTTTGGTAAGTTTTGAGAACTAAAAACAGGATGTTAGAATGGAAACTATGAAGAAAATGACACAATTATATTAGTTACCCCTGTGATATTACTAAAAAAACAGGGTTTGCTTTATTTATCCATATGGTCTGTCTGTGCACTTACATTTATTACTCAAAAGTGTCGTTCTGTAACACTGCTCTTAAAACAGCTTTCTTCCATCTTATATTTTAGTATGGCATTACTGTATACACTCATACACAAGCACACACTTATAACCTTGCATTTATCCACAGAGAACTTTATCTGATTGAAACTGGCCCAAATTTAATAACTCTCCAAGATCTCCTGCAGTTTTATTTTATCCTCAACTGCGTTTATAACCCTAGTTAGTTTAAGAGCAGCAGGTTTGATTAGCATACAATTTATCTCATATTGCACATCATTTATAAAGATATCAAACAGCTAAACCATTAAATGTTTCTTAGGCTTGTTTTGTTTGCAGTACTTGACTTTTTTGCACAAAATGCATGGATTTTAAAGTGGTTACAGTGAAAACAAATTAAGAGATTAAAAACAACCCTTCTCTCCACTTCTCATTCATATTACTTTTTTTTTGAGTGAGGAATTTCTTTTCATGATTCTTGGGACTAGATGGTTTACAAGACAATATCCCTATATAATAGCGTGTAACCCAGAAGGTACATTTCAATTTTTAAATAAATGGCTTTAAAATACTATTACAAATTGTACATAAGAATAACAAACTATGAATAGGTTTCAGAGTAGCAGCTGTGTTAGTCTGTATCCGCAAAAAGAACAGGAGTACTTGTGGCACCTTAGAGACTAACAAATTTATTAGAGCATAAGCTTTCATGGGCTACAGTCCACTTCTTCGGATGCATATAGAATGG